CTCAGGCTGGTCTCAAACTCCTGAGCTCAAACAATCCGCCCGCCTCAGCCTCCCAGAGAGCTAGGATTACAGGCGTGAGCCACCGCACCCGGCCTATCTTAAAGTATTTTTAAAAATAAAACAATATCGTGTGGGGGAAAAAAAGGAAAAATGAACCTGTTCACCTTCTAACAGCACTTTGAAAAAATGGCAATTATTTATAATTTTAAAGAAAACTCAGTACCTTATTTATAGGTATCTGTAACTAGAATTCTAAAAACAGGTTCCTGCATAAATAAAATAATGAACAACAATGTATATAATTCAACTGTTACTATATTCTGATGAACTAAATGACACTATAGAACTGCACTGTCAAATACAGTAGGCATCAGTCACAGGTAGCTATTTAAATGTAAATTTATTAAGATTAAATAAAATTTAAAATTTGGTTCCTCAGTCACACTAGCCACATGTGAAGCGCTCAACAGGCCCATGTGGCTGGGGGCTAGTGATCAGAGAGCAGAGACGCAGAAAGTTTCCTTTATTACAAAAGTCCTGGACAGTGTTGTTATAGAAAAAAGACAAAACACTCAAACAAATTATTAGAGAAGACAATGCCATCGTCTATTAAGTGTTGTCACCCACTACAAGCCACCCCCAATCATCCATAATAAAAATGTCATTGAGGTAGGAAAGGGCTAGGAAGAAAAGCTGATTAATGAATACAAATGCACAGTTTGATAGAAGAAATAACACCTTATGTGAGACAGATAAGATGACGGATTACTATAATCTATTGTTCATTCCAAAATGCTGGAAGAGAACAGTCGAACAACTTTAGTATTAAAAAATATTTAAGATGATGTATATCCCAAGTACACTGATTTGATTTTTATAAATTAAGGAATTAAATTATCGCATGTACCCTGAAACTATGTACACCTATTAAAATAAACTCTAAATAAATAAAATTTAAAATGCCATTATACATTTTTATAGTGATCTCGATTCTGATCCATTGGTCTATGTGTCTATTTTTAACCAATACGGTGTTGTTTTGGTTACTACAGTCTTATATTTTGACATCAGTTAGTGTGATGCCTCAAGCTTTTTTCCTTTTGTTCAGAATTGCTTTGGTTATTCTGACTTTTTTTGGTTCCATATAAGGGATTTTTTCTATTTTTGTGAAAAATGACATTAGTATTTTGATAGAGATTGTACTGAATATGTATATTGCTTTGGGCAGTATGGTCATTTTAATGATAATTAAAGGCATTTATTACGATAAACTTCCCTCCTAGTACTGCTTTTCCTTAGCCTACAGATTTTGGTATGTTGTGTTTCTATTTTCATTTGTTTCAAGGATTTTTTTTATTTCCATCCTTATTTCTTGACCCATTGACCCAATGGTAATTCAGGAACATGTTGTTTAATTTCTATGTATTCATATATTTTCCAAAGTTCCTCCTGGTTATCGATTTCTACATTTTGGTCTGAGACGAGATTTGATATGATTTCAATTTTTTGTTTTGTGGCCTAACATAATGGTCTTCCCTGGAGAATCGTCCATGTGCTGAGGAAAAGAGTAGGTATTCTGCAGTTGTTGAGTAAAAATATCTGGTAGGTCCCATTGGTCTAAAGTCCAGTTTAAATCCAATGTTTTTTTGCTGATTTTCTGTATATCAGTTTTAATTTCTATTATGGTAAATACTGGTAGATATACCCACATAAATGAAAGATCTGTGATGCCCTTGATAATTTTTAAGCACGTACAGATATCCAGAGACCACAAAGTTTGGTAACTACTGATATGCTGGAATATGTAGGGGTCAAAGATGACTTCCAGATTTCCAGATTGAGGGTCAGAGATGATATTATTTATTAGAGATGGGAAATACAGAAGAAAAAAAACAAGTTTAATGAGAATTTTAGCATGTGTCCTAAGTCAGATTCTAAGTGGAGCCTGAGGCAGGGATTCTTGTTCACTGATGTGTTGGTAGATCACTCCTAGGAAAAAGGCATTAAGGGAAACAGGACAGGGCAGGGGAAAGAGCCAAGCAAGAACGTGTCTCGACCAGAAATCGGCTGCAGACAAATCCCCAGGGAAGGCACTAACCGCACGGCAGCGTGGATCCCGCCTGGGGCAGGAGGCTTCTTACACCACTGGCTGTGGTCCTTCTGGGGGGGGGGCGGCGGAGGCCAAGAGGAGCGGTGAACACGGCCGCCTTGGCGAGACGCCCCCCTCAGCCAAGGGCAACGTTTCACTCAAAGTGGCACCGACGAGGACAGGGGATCTGGGCAGGGCACCGGCAATGACCACCGCGTCGCGGTAAAGGCGAGATGCTTGAGAAAACAGGTAGCACAGAGCTAGAAACTCAAGGCAGGAAAACTTGTCATTTAACATATACTTAAGAATTATCTGCGTAGAGTTGAATATTAAAGTTAAGGTGACCACTTTACTTACCAGAAAGGATTTATGCAATTGAGAAATACGCATCTATAATCTGTGAGGCTGGTGGCGGGCACCCCTCCCCTCCCTAAAGAAAAAGAAGCCCATGAGTCCCGCCCTAAAGACTGCAATAAAGAACTCTCTACTTTGCGCGCCAGAAGTTCGTGCTGCAGAAAAACCCCCATGCCCCCAACTGTAAAACCTTTATAAGTCTGCTCAACACTTCTGGGTGCACAACTTCTCGGCCCCCCCCTGGATTTAATATGTAATGTCAACATTACATAAGGAGTATAAATAAACTAAGCAAAAATATCTGCATATTGATGGCTTATTTAAATCGTAAAATCTCTGAAAGACTGTGCCGTCAGATGTCTCATAAGAATATTCAAATATGTGCAGATTATCACAAGAAATAATAATAAATGATTTTTTAGATTAGATAACATTTTTCTTCCAAGTGTCCCGATGCTATTATTACGTATGGCACACAAATCTACTTTTAGAGTTTGTTAACCATGAAAACAGTAACTTTTTTCTAATGCTGACACTTCAGCTTGAAGTCAAAGAAAAAGAGCCTCATATTCAAACTGCAAACTTTAATCATCAGCAGCAAAATCTTCTATTTGTAAATATTATCATACTAATGTATCCTATAGTTACCGGATCTGTCTTGAAAAAATATAGCTACCTACCAATCTTTCATTTGCCTGAGATTCAGCAACTTAAGAAGTACAAAAAGAAATTGGTTTTCCCAAATTAGATATTGCTATTTCTAGCATTTTGGTTAAATTTGAATATTTAGAAAGATTAATAGATTATGCGTTAATTTTGTACATACTATGAAGAAATACATTTTTCTTTCCCACAATTTAAGAAAATCCGAAAAACACTCTCCATTCTCATGAAACATATTATCATTAAAAATGGAACCAAGTCCCTAATTCTATGAATACTTGTCCCATAGTAGTTGTGGAGACATTTTACATTATTGCTGAAGCAACTAAGCAAAATTATCTCCCTGTTAATTAAAAAAGAGCAGAAAGAAAGTGCCATAAATACAAATTTTTTCCATCAGAATGCTGGACACACAGCAAATATTTCTTTGGTACCAACCACCTCTAAGGTCAAGAGGCCCATCCAAACTCCAGAATGGATAATGAGATGAATGGAATCACAAAATGTTTCATAACCATAAAACTGTGAGGGGTGAGTAAACGGTAATTTCAACTT